CTTACTTGAGTTTCTGGCAAATTCTGTATGGCAATAATAACTTTCTTTTGATCAATATGAAAAGAATAATTAAAAAAATAATAATCATTTTTATTAAGACAGCTTCAATTACTTCATATATCTTAATGCGTATGTACCTCTTTGCATACAGGACATTTAGCTTCTGAATCAGTATATTTAAATATATTTTGATGTTATGCATTCGAATTAGTATAAGACAAGAAAGAGAAATGTTTATGTACTACTTCATGAATTATACTTTTTTCTTCCAGAAACTTTGAAATTTTGATAATATAGTCTCATGAGATACAATTATCAGCATTTTCTTCAATTTGGAAGAATTTAGAAGTTTCAAAGTTTATCCAGGAATTGAATTCAGTTTTATTTTTATATCTTTTATATAACCTAGAATGAATTTTATCTGTTAAAATGCTTGGCAATTCTGTTAATTTAGCCTCTCACTCCAAATATTCAGGAGTCAATATTTTATTGATCTTTGTCTATATATTCATGTTTCCATTTTATATACATGTAATTACACATCTTTTTAAATTAACAATAGCCAACAAAAAATAAATATATCTCAGAGAAACACTCTAAAGACTTGAGCAAATTGTATTAGTATAAAATAAAGTTTATGCTGTTACCTCAATTTCAATTCCACGCTGTTCACATTTAATATAGTATGATTCAGCTTTATAATTACCTTCTATACCATTATCATCATCATGATCTAACTTGCATAACGGGCATAAAGATTCATCAGTAATCCCATAATAATTAAAATTTTCATTGCTATATTCATAATATAGATCAGGATATTGCTCCAATGTTTTGTTGCGAAAATAAACAAGGTCATGAATTGGATTAGATGATATACTTTCGGGATTGTTTTTTGGGAGAGCGTGAGATTCGATAGGTATACCCATCTCAATCTCTAGCGATGATTTGTCATCCTCACTTATAATATCTTCCAAATTAGAGGTATGAGAAAATGGGATAGAGGAAGTAGAAATTTGTTCGTTAACATAATTTATGATATTTTGAATTTTTATATAAGTAAAGCTAGAAATTGCATTTGCGCTATATGAAACTTGTCTAATTTTTTCTATCCCTACTGTACTGAAAAGTGTTCTAATTTTTCTAGCTTTGAGGATTTTATGTCGTAAATTCACATCTGTTATATCTGGTAGAAGCTGTTTAATTTCGTGATACACTAAGCTAGTTGTTTTTTCTTCTTAACTCCACTAGCAACAACTTCATCGATTCTTTTGTTAAATCTTTCTGCAAAATAATACCAGTAAAATATCCCTTCTTGTCCGGATTGAATAGCTTTATAAAATATATAAACTATACTATCCGCCGTAACGGGTTCCAAGTTTCCAGATAATATAACACTTTGAGTATTTGATTCCCATGCTATATTGATAGATGGTGTGTTTGTGCAATTCCATTGTTTTATGGAGGTCAATTGTTGTAATTAATTCCTGTTCTATTTGATTATTATTCAACTCGATATTAAAATGTGAATCTGAAATTTTTCTTCTGATCGTGATTCTGGAATCACGGAAATTTTTCGCTTACATGATTTTGCTCAGGAGAGATAGAAGTATCTGAAACTAAGTTCTGGGATCGGTCTTCAGCTGATTCACATTGAAGCTTCTTCTCCCTATTGCGTTGCTTTA